TCAGAACCTATTTTCTCGGAAACTATATATCAACTTCTTGAGCTAGTCTTACTGTTAAAAGTACTAAAAACTTCAAGTTTTGGTTTTATTCTACCTCGTCTTCTTGAGATTTCCATAGTCAAAATTAAAACAATACAAATGGCATGGTTTTGCATAAAAATTTTTATATTAAGGTAAATCTGAATTACTTAAACGTGTTGCTGTATATATGCTGGAATAACAATGGTAACACAACCATTAGCTGCTGGTGAACTTAATCGTCCATATGTTGGTGAAACCGAAAAANTATTATGTGTCCTGCTAATACTATACCTTATCTAATATGCGCTATTACAATTGATGAAATAGATGGTTTAGTACTAAAACGTGATAATAATGCACAACAATCAAAAGTTGACGGTATAAGTGTATTATTATCTCATATAGAAGGTGTTAAAAATATTCCAAACTTAATTGTATTTGGTGCAACAAATCGTCATAATATGATGGATGAAACATTTCTCCGTCGTATGCAACCTAAAGTATTTGTTGGACGTCCATCACCTAAAATACGTTAAAAAATGTTACAACCATTAGTAACTAAAGATTCAAAAGTATTTACAGCTAAACGTATTGAATTTTTAGTTAAAATAACAACTAATTTTAGTGGTGCAGCAGTTGGTGCATTAAAATCAAGTATTATTGTTGCAATGGATAATGATCCAAATATTAATGATTCAACATTATTAATATTAGCGGATGCAGTTGCACGTGAATTTAATGTATGGTTTGGTATTAGTATATTACCAGAAATTTGGCGTTTAAATCCACTGATTTTGAGTTCAAAAGATCAAGATAATTATTCATTAGCTTTACCAAATTTATCACCAACTGGACGAATTCTTGTTGATTGTCAAGATCGTAAATGTTTAATTGAATTAAAAAATGAACCAACATTAGAAAAAGTTTTAATAGAACAAGGAACATCAATTTTATCATTATTAACACGTTTTATTCATGGTTGTTCAAGTCGAAATATTGATACAATACAAGTAATTGATATAAATTTTTTAATTAAACAAAATGCATTTGATGAAAATCAAATATTTGAATTATTAACAACAACATTTTTAGAATGTGATGAATATAATCGTTCAATGATTATATTTGATATTGATTCATTAATTATGTTAGATATATCCGATTCAGAAACGGCAAAATCAAAATCAATATCAAATATACGTTTATATCAATATATAAGAGAAAAATGTAAAACAGCTATTGTTGAACAAAAATCAGATAAAAACAGTGTAAGTTCACCTTACCAACAGTTTTTTTATTGTTGAATTGTTAATGGATTTTCCTAAATTTAGGTACATTGAAATCATTCTTTTTCTAATTCTGAAGGTTTCATTCGTACTAGTCTCAAATATTTTTTTGTCAAACTAATTTTGACAATAACAGAAATGGATTTAGAATTTCTACTTTTTGCAGTAACTATTTTTTGAAATTCGACAATTATTTCGCCAAAAACTAATGATTCACCGACGTTTGAACGACCGACATTTGAGCGACTACAAAACACTAGTTTCAAAGGTCTTGGTAAATATGTTTGCTGATTTTTCAGACATCATAATGTAATTGAAAAGGATCCAAAGTAGTCGGTTAGAACCAGTATTTGATGCTCTTCCTAAATATATCTTTAGAATTTTGCTTTGACTTACGACTAGTTAGCTGTAAGCAAATACCTGAATCGATAAAAAATGTCGTTTGCACCATGCAAATAGGCTTTTCTTCTCTCAGTCGTAATTTCTCTATAATTCCATGTTCACTTCTTTTTTGGCGCCGACATTATCAACGCGATCTTTGCCTAAATTTTATTTTTTTCATTGGCGCCTCTTTTTCAACCAATGAGAAAATAAAATTTAGGCAAAAACCACGTTGATAATGTCGGCGCCAAAAAAGAAGTGAACATGGAATTATAAGGAGCCCGCTGTCGGATTCACCAAGAAATTTTGCACCCAATTTGTTTCTAATTTGGTTCATCGCGGAGCAAGCACCAAATTTTCTAATGAGACACGGTTATACGTCGAGAGACCACTTTTGGACCTATAAATGTATTTCATTAACATTCAGTGATATGAAGTTGAAAGCTATTGGATTTCATTGAGACTTTCTGAGGATCCAAAAGTGTTATTGCTTAAAATGATAGATAGTCATAGATATACTACCAATTGAGTTTATCACATAAAAATTAAACATACATTTAATCTGACAGTCGAAACTGGTTTTTATGCATAACTTCCAGTTTCGACTCATGAACGATTGCTTTAAAAATATAAATTGAAATTGTCTTTTTTTGTACACGCCTTTCAAGATGTACGTTCCAAATAGAAGTGAAAATATTATTTTATCTTAGCTTATCTAATTACTTTTAGAAGTAATGTCCGATTTTAAAAATAAATGTTCAGAAAATGTAAATAAAAAGATTTATCTCAGCGTTTTATCTTGTCCCGCTTTGTAGAAGAAAAAGTCTCTCTTCTGTTCCTCTTTTTCCTGCCATAGTATGAATTTGCTTTAGCTTTCCAAGTACTTATGCATGATGTAATTAATTCAAGATCAAGCTCTGGTTGACACCTTCTAAAGGTGGCAATAGCTCTTTGTGGACACCTCTGGAGGTGGCAATAGCGCTACCCACTTTTTTTTAAGGTAACAGGCTTAATGAAGACAAAATTCTGCATTTTCTTCTGCATTCTTCGAGTTGAACACTTAAAGAACAGCTGAGTTGCACATGCTATCTATTTCGTTGCATTCTGAGTACGCCTTGTGACATGGCGCACAATACAGGTAGATATAACGGCAGTGTTAGTGACTCTTCTAAAAAGTGTCCAATTATAGATTTAGCTACTCATCTCATTTTCGCAACGTCGGTAACGCGATACTGTACGAAAACACGAATTTTCCTTAGCCTTCAAACTTAGTAAGCTAGATGAATAAGTCAGCGAAGCTTTAATTTTATAATTTAATTTCGACATTTTTTGGACATAGGGTAGTCTACAATCAGAGATGGGCAACTCCAACTCCGGAGTTGAATTTTTTTTAGTGGAGTTGGGATTGAATTGGAGTTGCGTTTTTATTAGATTAGAGTTGAGTTGAGTTAAGATTTTTTCAACTCCAACTCCACAACTCCAGTTAAAAATTTGCATTTCACTGCTGTCTGCAATGATTACATTAGAGTTGATGAAAACAAGTCTCTCGTTTTCCCTTTCTCATGTCTATTTCTTAAGAAATACACAGAGAAGAAAACGAAACCTTATGTCGATACACTAGATTATTCTTGCTCACTTATCTACACCGTGTGTTGTTATAACCGCTGATATCTCTGTAAAATTAGAAAATAATTCAAATGGCAACATGTAGTTTTCTGGTTTTCTCAAAATAAGTTCCTGTCAGAGTTGAAACGGAGTTGGAGTTGGGATCCGCGCGTTGGAGTTAGACTTGGAGTTGAACTTCTTTAAGTGGAGTTGGAGTTGGAATTGAACTTAGCCGGAGTTGCCCATCTCTGTCTACAATATAATTTCTACAGGGCTTTTACCATAAGCAAAGGCAGCAGTTCATGGGCTTTAGTGACACTAAAATTTGGCTATATTCAACTGTTTTTTATTTTACGCAGTCTCGCTTCTGAATGAGGGACTTATGTTTCAGCCTCATAGTCCAAATTATATTCCAATTTAAACGTCAGTCGATCGATTCGAAGAAAAATGACTTGTTTAGACTGCATGAACCGTTTACTTAATACAAGGGCAACCAATATGGTTTTTCAATAATGACATCTCTTCTAAATATGTTTCCTATACGACGTTGACTAGCTGTGGCTGGCATATTCAGAAAGTTGACCTACGTGGTAAATGATGTACACTATGTTTAGGGTTGGACGAGACCATCGATCGACCAATATACAAACTGATCTGGAAATGGCACATAATTTTCCAAAGTGTTACTGCTCAACGCTTGAACAACCATGTGAAGAAGGAAAAAAGCCTTAATCCGTATGTACATTGTTCGAAGACGTTGTGTCCTACCCATATTATCTCACATAAACATATTGTATTAGAACAGTTAGAAAGAATGGATATGGTCGTAGCTGAAAATGAGCGGAATAGATTCGATTTTCTCTTTTCTCTGCCAAATCTAAACAATAAGTATCATTGCCCGTAAAAATAATGCTTGTTTTAAGGGTGGCAGTGATATTGTTGACAGTAACCGTGTTTTTAATCGATTATTTTTTAACTTCATTTCGTTTTCTGTTTTTACTTTTCAATATAGACCTTAGCATTCACATAGTTACAAAAATCTGAGCTTCCCTCGCATCAATAGCATTATTAAAAACTAATTACTGTTCATATTAACGTTCTTCTAACGAACGACAAATCGAAAACAAGAAGAACACAGATTCTGAGTGCTTTGCTGCGCGGTTCTGTAGTTTAGATCGTGAACGTAACACTTAAGTGATCTAGTCTTTTATATTTAACTTTCAGATCAGCAGTTTTCGTTAAATAAGTGACGGAAATAGAATGGCTAGAACAATCGCGACGTATTATTAGGATGCGTATATTAGTGGCAGCAATATTATTAGGAAGATTTTTGCCGAATACACTATTATCTCGTGAACACAAACATCAAAATGTTACTTACAACCGTAAGTTAGAAAAAAAATTGGTCTAGGCGGAATCATAGAATTCATTCTCGCTATCAATTTTGTACAATCGATAAATCTTGAGCAGGTTTTGACAATAAAGTGTAATAGTAAATAGTCGATTTAGACTATTATTAGTTAGGAGAGTAGAAATTCGGAGTGCAGAAGGAAAAGACGGGAATGAATTATTTATGATCGACAAATTTTTTTTATTTCAGTTTTATTTCTTTATCGAACTATTTAAATCAATCTGTGTCTATGTAGGTCAATCTACAAAAGCTTTGATATTTTGTCACGTATCTTCCAAATCTACTCTCCCACGAATTTCTACTCTCCTAACTAATAATAGTCTAAACCGACTATTTACTATTACAATTTATTGTCAAAACCTGCTCAAGATTTATCGATTATACAAAACTGATAGCGAGAATGAATTCTAGCATTCCGCCTATTGTAACTGTGCTATACACAAGTGAGCAACATTTCTAACACTCATCTTAGAAGTTTTTATATATATGTGTAAATTCATTCCTTATTTCGGAATATTGGTATATTTCTTTCCGCACCATATCGTTTTTATCTTTTCATTTTAATTTAGATCAGGAGATGTGAGCTTTTTGCATTTCACAATCTCATTCTGTTCTTATTACCAATAACAGAGAAATGCCAAAAGATTATTAGTATTGTTCTGTCTTAAACTTCTAATATGTGTATATGACTATGAGAGTCACACATAGAAAAAAAAGCAACTGTAAATGTTTAATTAGTTTACAACCTTCAGTTGATGGAACCACTGGCCTATCATCTTGAGAAACTATTCCACGACCTTGTCGTCATAGGCCTACAACAGTATCTCTTCGAGAAAAAAAAACATTAGATCCTAGAAATGAACGGGGTAAATACATAAGAGTTTATCAGTACTCATCTCTATTACATCTGTTAATTAAGAAAAAGTCAGGAAAAAGAACAAAAGTATAAGCACGAATATAGTAACTAATAATACGTCAATGTTTAACAGTGACTGTGGAAGCAAAGTAAAAATGTTGAAAATTTATCGAGTTATCTAGTTAAAGCTGCCTTTCAAATGTTCTGAAGTGATTTTGGCGTGAAAAAGTATTGACTATTGACCATAGTCGAAAATCTGCAAATTTTTCGCCTTGATACCTTTGTACCGCAAAACGTATCAAAAAGCCGCAAATGAAAGCGACAAATATGCAAGGGACCAATACTACATCTACCTAACACTCCATCACTCTACAACCGGACAAAACCCAAACGCATACTATGATACTGTGAAACAATGATACTGTGAAAGTCATACTATGATACTGTGAAACTATAAAAGTCATACTATGATACTCTGAAACTATGAAATTCATACTATGATACTCTGAAACTATCAAAGTCATACTGTGATTCTGTGAAACTATGAAATTGTGAAAGTCATACTATGATACTGTGAAACTGTGAAAGTGATACTATGATTCTATGAAACTATGAAATTGTAAAGGTCATACTATGATAGTGTGGGATTATGAAAGTCATACTGGGATACTGTGAAACTGTGAAAGTCGTACTATGATACTATGATACTGTGAAACTATGAAAGTGATACTATGATACTGTGAAACTTTGAAAGTGATACTGTGAAACAATACAGTTGTGAAAGTCATACCATGATACTAT